CCGATCTGACGATCACAAATATCTAGTAGTATTTGAATTTTAATTATTTTTATATAAATTTAAATCATTTGAAATTTTAGGTGTGTATTCATCAGAAATAGGTAAATCTTTGAAAAATATCAAAAAAATATTTTACATGAAAATGTTGACCAAAATACCCCCGAAACGTTTTGGGGGTATTTTTGTCAATTTATTTTTTGCTGATTTTTTTTTTAATTATTAGTTATGGCTTGAAGAGAAGAACATACGTCTAAAATTTTAAGTAATTTGGATTTGTAGAAAAAAATAAATTCAAACACTTTCGGACATCTATGATCGTTAGATCGGCCCAGATTCAATTTGGGCCGTTGGACTCATTTTTACTCTTGAGCCCACTGGCTCATAGGATCATTTTCCATATTATAAAGGTTAAAGATATAGAGAGTTGTGAAGGTTAAAGATAGAGAGAGTCGTGAATGATGGATTTACTAATTTTGTAGTTTATTTTTTTATAAAAGATATTTTTTGTGATATCTTCACCATTAAGTGAAGACAATTTTATAAATATTACTACAGGACAAAGGGTACTTTTGTCATTTCTATAAAGAACAAAGTTGAAATTTTTATTAAAAGACAAGGGTACTCTATAAATAAAATTTCAGGACACTAACTTCTTAAATGTCATTGTACTTTTATAAAAATTTCATATTTACCTTTGTTTAATAGTTAAGATACCAATTAAAATAATTTTTTAAACAAAAAGTAATCATCTTTTTAATATATACACCCATTACAACCCCTACTAACTTTAACTTTTGTATTTTGAGGGGTTGTTAACTCCAGACAAACTCAAATATATATATATATATATATATATATATAAGAAAAAGCTGGAGTTGGCCTATTAGATCATATGAGTCCAATGGCCCTGATTGAATTTGGGCCGATCTGACAATCATGGATGTCTGGTAGTGCTTGAATTTTATTTTATTTTTTACAAACTCAAATCAGTTGAAATTTTAGGTGTGTGTTCTTCTCATCAAGGCATACCTAATAAAAAAATATATAAAAAATTATTCATAAAAATTAAAATGACCAAAATACACCCCGAAACATGTCGGGGTTATTTTGATCAATTTATTTCCTGTAAAATATTTTTCAAAGATTCACCTATTTTTTATGAACACACACCTAAAATTTCAAGCAATTTGGATTTGTAAAAAATAGTAAAAATTCGAATACTATCGGACATCCATGATCTTAAGATCGGCCCAGATTCAATCTGGGCCGTTGGGATCATATGTTCATATAAGCTAGTGGGCTAACCCTAGCTTTTTCCATATATATATATATATATATCCTTAATATGGCATGAACTCGACCGAGTTACTCAAACGCAAATGAAAAACTCACCTCGATTACTTTGGCCAAGTCGATTTTCTTAACACTATTTGGGATTATAGGAGAATAATTCGAGTTGTCGTGTTTTTTAACATTTCTTTGAAGAGTATGATTACAACACTGGAATCCTATAGTTTGGTCCATGCTTAATATTTTAGTGAATATGAAACTTGCTGCTGAGAAAAACCCCAAGAAGAACTCTTATTAGGCTTCAGTTATCTTCATAAGAAAGTGTTTTTTTGTGGATCTCATATAGAAACACGGTGTAATTGTAGATCTCAAGTTACAAATTCCCTACGATTTGAGAATGGGCGGGGGCCTTGGCGGTTGTACCAACAAGTCTTGTGATGAAGGTTTTGACTCTATTCTCATCAAATGGTAGGGGCTCAAATCCTCATTGACTTACCTTCTTCTTCTTTTTTTACTTTTATTTTTTAATTTTTTATTTTTATACAAATTCCCTGTTACTCTTTCATTTTTCCAAAAATTAAAGAGGGTTGGCAGGCCTATGCGGTGGCTATTGTATACAAGGAGGTATGGCTATGCAAAGGCGCTAACAATAAACACGGTTAAACAACAGTGTCCTTTATTGTATTTAATTATGGGCTCCATCAAAATGG